ATCTATCTATCTATCTATCTATCTATCTATCTATCTATCTATCTATCTATCTATCTATCTATCCATCTACCTACCTACCTATCATTTATCTGATACTTTCAGACACTGAGAAATTCCCAAGCAGAGGCAGTAGAAATCATGCTTGAGATGTTATTGAACACACCCACTTCCCCCTGTAGAGATAAGAGTAAATTCATACTCAAAATTTATCATATCAAGATTAATCTGACAATAATAGAAAGTAAACAATCAATCTGTATTTTAGAAATACATGGAAAAGCATAAGTAGCTGCTTGATTTTGTAAAATCAAAACATGTCAGATCAATTCACTTTTTTGCTAGTTCACAATGATAAGAAGAATTTGAAAAGCACAATCTTTCTTAATTTTATCAAAAGCTTTTGTTCTCTTGTGTATGATGTATCATCTTGAAGCTGAGAAAAAAATGATGTGGTATACAGTTCCCAATGGCTAGTCGTTAAGCAGTTTTAGCTGGACACTGATATTAACAGGCACAGGAATGTCAAAGCAGTCCTCTGAAATCAATAATTTGATATAAAGTCTAAAGAAAAGATTTGCAAAATTTGTTCTACCACTAAAAAAGTCTGTCGATATTATTAATGCACCTCCTTGTTGCTGTCTGGGACTAAATAATTTTCAAATAAGTCTTGATATATTTGATGAGATGCTTATAAAACATTAATACTGGTGGAGAGAACTAGAAGGTGTGAGGAACACTTTGCAACCAGCATCATCATGGAAAGACTAAATAGATAGAAATTTCAAAAACGTTTTCAGCTGTTTTGTGGGACAGAAGTTGAATTGAGCTATAACTATTTGTAAAAAGATAGAGAAGGGAAACAGGAAGGGAGGAAGGAGGAAAGGAGAAAGGGAAGGCAAACATGCAATGTCATACAAGGTAGAAAAATGTCAATGTTCTCTCCAGTTCTGACCATGCTTTGATTAACATTAAGTCTACATCTCACAGGCCCCATCTGGCCCATGTCCTAAGTTTAGATAGTCATGATTTCTACGTTTTAGTTCAGTGTTCAACTATTCATCTCTGGGCTAAACCCTGACTTTCACATTTTTAGATTATCAAAAATACAAATTTCATGACATAAGATTCACCCTCAGTGGCTACAAGAAAATTCTTAGGGCAACAGCACTCAGCCGGCCCATTCTGATGTGTTCTCGTTTGTTATGTTAGCGTCTTGGAACCACAGCATTCAGGAGATGGGGCTGAGGCCATATTGTGTATAAGGTCTAAAATGATTACTCTTTGGCCCTTTGTGGAAAAAAGCAATCTCCTGAACCTTGACCTGTTTGATTGCAGCCATTTGCACAGTGCATTCAACGTGCCTCCCACATCTAGAAGTTTTCCTTGTTGTAGTGGAATTGGACACCCCTAGGGTCTGCTGAGGAGTACAGACGACACATCTTCTGAAGTGTCTTTGACATGGCTTTGGGCCCACAGAAGAACACACCGATGCTGCTGCTGCAGGATGGATAAGAAGAGAGTGTTACCTGGGCAAGGCCAGCAGGAAGCCATGATGGCCCTAGGCAATTAGGAAGCAGAGGTGGAGGCGAGGCTACTTATTTCTTTCTTTTCTTATCTGCTCACTTTGTTGTTGTTGTCATCGTTAACAGTTCTTCCTGCTTCCAGCACATTACTCCAGCCAAGCTGTCCTGAATCACAGGAGCCAGGGACCCAAGAGGACAGAGGCTAGAGAGGGGCACTGTGGTAACAGCACAGGGGGGTTGTGATGCAGTGGGTTTTTGGTCAGGTGAACTGGATCAACATTTTCTTGAACCTGTGGATAAACTATCAATTCCGTGAGAGCAGAATCAGAGCTTTTCACTCATCATCCTCATCCCACTCCTGGGATAGTGTGTGGCTTAAGCAGACAGAGACCACACCTTTGCTGAGGGAGTGAATTAATGGTCATGTTGATTATTGCCTGCATGGTCTTGGGCAGGGCTGGAGGTCTTGCAAATATAATAAGAAGATAACAACTACATTGTGTGTTTAAATGAAAGCAAAATAAGGCAGTATATCCAAAAAGTTTTTAAAAGGGTTAGCTATGACTAATATCTTGTTCAACCGTGCCATTTTTATAGATAATAAGATGCATATCAAAGTAATAACAATTTGGTTTATTTCTCCTACTAGAATTCAATTTGCAAAGGAGGCTTAAATGAAGATCTGGAAAGGGACAAGGCCTTGATGAAAATGCAGCCTTCTAAACAGTGTGATTTCTGACCCTGACACTTTAGAAACTAGTGTGGAAGACACAGCTTTGCATCACATCACAAGGGTGCTCCAGCCCCTGTGGCTCTCCTCCTATGGAAACTCTGGTTCTTCATCTCGCCCTGTGAAGTAGGACAGGTCGGTCCCTGTTGGAAAGTACACAGGCCATAGCTTTCTTCCCTGTCTTCTATATTACTGTGCCCTGTGGTTTTTTTTTCCTTTTACTAATCTCCAGCATAAGATAAAGCAGTTACTCTAGTCTAGATCAAACATACCCAAGTTACCTTGTATAAAATCGTCAGGCAGCTTGTTAAAATGCAGATTCTTTGGCTGGAATCCATGAAGAGTGTGTTTGGTATGATGCCAGGTAATATTGAGGCAGATGGCCCTATGAGCCATACTGCCTCAGAGAAATTCTTCAGATCCAGGGCCAGCCCGTTCTACCGCCTTTCTCCCTCCCCCAACTTTGTTAGTAAGTGGTTGGATATAGCCTTGCTCCTCGTCACTCATACAGTGAATTGTTCTTTGCCATAGATCAGAGCCCTATTTTAACAATGTGTTCTAGGACCGTGGTGGCCACGGTAGAAGGTGAGGGTTTAATCACATTTTAAACTACCTTCAAAAGAATTCACCAAATGTCTTCTTTTACAAATGAGAATATATTTAAAATGTCTAAGTGTAACTTTCAAAGATATCCTTCTCATGACTTAATTTGTAAAAGTATTTTTTTTCCAAAAAATGTCTTCTACTGAATAATTTGACTTGAGGCAATTTTCAGGTGTTTGTGGAACTAGAGGGTGAATATCTAAGGAGGCTGATTTTTGGCTGCTGTGAGCTTTGGGCATACAATTATCTTCTCATAGCTCAACGGTTTCATGTATAGAATCAGGAGCATTAGAGAGCTGTCCTCTCAGGATCTACTCTGTACTCCCAGCTTCCTCTGAGGATGAAAAGAGGCATGGTAGGCCCTGCCCTGGCCCTGTACATGGTGAGCTCTGTGGCTGTCAGCTCTCGGATATCAGTATCGTGAATGTCCTGCTCCACAGAGCTGAATAGAAGACGGGAAGTGGGGTGTGAACAGAGAGGCTGCTAGAGAATTACAGGCATTGGTCTTTTGAGCTCTGGACAGAAACATCTGAGTGAAAGAGGTCAGACAAGGCCCTTCTGATGAGGAGTAACAGCTTTGCTTTGGGTATGATGCCCAGAGGTATCCTTGTATTCAGTTTCAAAGGCAATTTTATGGTGGTGATATTTTCCCCATCAGCATGAATGTCACCAAAGAGGTTGCCACTGGCTTATCCCCAACACGTTGGGACTGCCCTTTCATTTGTAGCCACAATCACTGTTTGAGAAGCTGGTGGTGGTCTTTGATGTCTTTAAGACCCAATTTCAAAGCATTCTGATTGCGGGCTGCTGGGTGTGCCACTGGCATTTCCCGTGGCTCGCCGCTCTCCTGCTTCTTTGAAGTTGTGGCTGCTGCACTGTGCAGGTGAGTGCAAACTGTTCTGGGCTCAGGGTCTACAGCGGTCATGGCTGTGTAGTCACCAGAAAGTCCCACAGAGGCCATTCATTATCTACCCTCAGCTGTGACCCAGCAGTCAGCCCTTTACAATCTCTTTTCACATCAATGTCCCCAGGTAAGGCATTCTGTTGCTCACCTAGCTTTACCAGCCTTGGCATTTATGGTGCCAAGCATAGGGTTTCCTGGTCATGAATGCATCTCATAAACTATGGAGTAGAGAGAATCTGCACAAAATGGTTAAGGCACAGATGTGGCAGTTTTTTTTTTTTTTTTTCTTTTATGAGGCAATGGACAAGTACAGCAGAGCCCTAATGGGATTGCTAAAGAAAAAAATTCTATAAAAATTTAATTATCCACAATTGCTTAGAGTTAAAAAAGAAGATTCTGTGCAAAAGAAGTATAAAAACACAAGCCACCGTTTATCCCCCAGTTTACAGCCTGCAAGCTGCAGAGCTTGCTCACACACGCGGAGCTGGATCAAGGGTAGCGTTAACGACATTGACCAGCCTGAGTGGCTGACTTTGATGAGAAAGGGGCAGATTTCACAGAGGCTGAAGAAAAATGGCTAACATCCACAGAATCCTTCTGAGCTCCAATAAACAGGAAGGTTCTTTCCCTCTCTACCCACTCCTGTATTTGTTAAATAACCACTATGCTCGTCTCTGTGGGATTTATGGCCCCCCCCAAAAAACAGTTGAGCAACGCCATGCATGAAAGGCGTTCAAAATATCATGCACCAGGAGATTTGAGCCTAGCAGATAGATGGGCATGTGGGTGTGCCTGGGAGTAATCTCAGCACTTGCCCAGATTCGCCGATTCCACTGGCACGAGTCCTTTCCTCTTTAAATTGTATGTTTGTTTTTATGTGTTGGCTTTTATGCTTGGTAAGTTATAACCCTGTTGGGGCAGACCCTAAACCCTGTTAAAAAAATCAAATTACTTTATACCCTGAGTGTGTTCTGCAAATAAAATCGATAAACAGAAGCTTCCTGCGGATTTATGGAGGCTTAGGATGAAGGCACCGAGGCTACAGACTCGGTTTCAGGCAGTGGACACACAAGTTCTGGTTAAGCTTTCCCAGTGAATGTTTTTCATTAGAAATGCCTCCAAATGATTTATCACACAATTACACTCTATACAACACCATCTTTTTCATAACTCGAGGATAAGCTTGCTGGCCAGCTCCCTCCCTTTGTAACCCGTGTCCCAGTCCATGCCCAGCAGCCAGCTGCACTGACTTGCTCAGCTTTTATGGTGGTCAGTCTTGACTGTCAATTCGATTTAGAATCTCCTAGGAGGAGGTCTGAGGGCATTTCCAGAGAAAATTGACTGAGGAGGAGGGAAGACTCACCACGTGGGCTGGGTCTCAGACTGAGCACAAAGGAGGAAGCTGGCTGAGCAGAGGCCTTCATCCTTGCCCTCTGCTTCCTGGCCATGGATGCCTTCTGAGCAACCACCTCCCTCCCCTTCCTGCTGCCAGGGTGAGCTGCATCGGTGTACCACAAACCCAGATAAACCCTTTCTCTCTGAGTTGCTTCTTGTCAGGTATTTGGTCCTGGCAATAAGACAAGTGACTAAGGCAGTGTTTTCCTTGCTGAGTTACTCATTTGGGGCTGCAGATGAAACTAATGAAACCTAGGTGTACCTTTTCTTTGCCCCATTTTACAGCAACTGTCTCTTGACAGATAAGAGTATCCTAAGAGACAGATTAAGTGCTTAGAATCCTCATCTTTGTTTCCTCTACCTATTAGTCCCTTTACTTGTTCATGCTGACCAGTAGATACAAAGCTGTTGCCCTTAGTGGGGTAGGGGTGGGAAGGAGGAGGAGGAAGTGAGGATGAGGAAAAGGAAGAGAAAGACTAGGAGGAGGAGGAAAATAGTTCATTCTTACTATTGGATCCCAGAAAATGGTGGAGCAATTTTTCTCCATCCTATCTTTTCCCTTGCTCTTGTTCCACTAAGAGATGTAAAGATATAAATAACCAAAAAATTTCCATAACTAACTGTTAGTTTGCTGGAATAATGTCATCAAAGCAAGTTTAAAGAGTAATAAATTTACCCACTATTTACCTATGTCCTTCGTTCCCCCGAAACAAACAATTTTAGTAATTTTCACTGAATTTTTAGTTGGCTATAACCAGTGAGATGGATGCCCTCTGGTGGAAAAAGTACCATTTAGATATGGGGACGGTATCTCCACCATCCATTATGGTACCTTTACTTTTCTTATAAAGCTATAATTTATCATGTGGTGCATTTACATTTAAATCTATTTCTTTGAGTGTTCTGAGCATTTTAGTCATATAATGAATGTTTAGGATACCCTGTTAGATAAAGGACCTTGTATGCTGTAATCAGAATGCTAATTCCCTAAAAATATCACTTAACAACATTTTTGCACATATGCATGTACAAATGAGAATCGAAGGGTGTGCACACAAGCAAATGTGATTCCAGATGGACACATTTACTCAATTTAGTAAAAAAGGTATTTTTTCCCATTTCTGAAAACAATGGAAGTCTAAAATACATTCATATCATATGGATTAGGAGCCCCCACTTATATAGTAAGCTGACACATTCTTCATTTCTGGGTTGGGTTCCTCCTTCCTAACAAATGGTGACATTCTTCCTTGTTTTTTTCCCCTTCATTATTAAAGAATCACTCCTATTGAAGTTTTGAAAACTGGGCAAATCTTGAAAGTTTTTATGGTAATTAATTACATAAAGTTCACACCTACAAGGCATGGTGAAGATATTAGCAGGTAAGTCAAAAGCAGCAAACTATAAATATTTTCTGAAGTGTAAGATCAAAGACTGAAGCCCTATGGAGAAACCTCTTAGTCAATTAACTAACAACAGCTGAGCCGCAGATCCACCAGGGTGAGTAGATGTACAATGTGTTTGTCAAAAAATAGCTAGATATGACAAAGCTATATTTATTTTCACTCTGTCTTCTTGAAAATGATGTTCTGATTTCTGAACATTTGTCTAAAGGTTGGCAGCACATTGAGAGTGCTTAAGAGAATGAAACACAGCTTCCATTTCTGTACAAGAGACATTTCTATAGTTTAAGAAGTCCTAGGTGTTAATTCATTCATTAATTAGCCTACTGTACTTTAATGGGGGGGGGGCAACTTGCACTGTATGCTTGGATTACTTTTCTGCACTTGTATAATTGAAGCATTGGCGATTGTCACAGGCGTGAGAGTTTGGGCACAGCAAGAAATGACCTCTTTAAGTATATACTTATTTGCTATTTGTTGATTGTTTTTTAGAACTAGACTCATGTTTTTGTAAATCAACTGGTATAATTACCAAAATTAATTACAGATAAAAACAGCAGAATATTCTTTCCTGTTTTCTGCTCCTAGTCTTTGATCTATTTAAAAATTGTCTTTCCTGTTCCTCATTTGTATTCATTTTGATGCCATCAATTTGTTTCTCTATTACTGTTATTTTTGCAATTTTCTGGTTCCTTTAGAACTTGCTCAATCCGCTTTGATCTGCTTCCCTTCGAGCTTTATTTTTGGTACTGTTTTTCATGTTCTATAAAAAATTTTTTTTGCACTCCTCTCCTTCAGTTCTTTTGATTCAACTCTTTCTTAGGACAGGAACGAGCTCTAGCTTTGAGTGAGCAGGTAAATGTGATTACAGGAGTTAGTGCGAAGAATGTCTAGCTTTGTGCTGATAAATAGCAATGGTTGAGAGCCTACTTCAAAGGCCCTTGAGAACAAAGGATCTTTTCTCAGGCCACTAACAAATCCAGCAATTCTTCCTGACCTGTCTTTGCCAAAAGATACCAGCTAATAGCAGGACAAGCCTGTCCTGTGAGAGTAGCCAAGTGGGCTTGGGAACAAACATCTCCGTGACATAATAAGGGGAGAACATACTGTTTATCTCTGTTATAACCATCTTGAAGAAAATTAATGTTACTCTGTCCTTTGTGCAGAGCATGATTGGATTGTGTGTCTCATTTCTATCTGGACAAAGGCCAGCATATTGCAATGCTTCTCAATATTAGATTTTCTTGTTTAAAAATTAGATTTTATTGGCATTCTCCTTCTGTGATTTCTTCATTAAAAGCTTCATTAAGCATAAATCTCCTTTTACTCAGAAGAAAAACAAAAAAAAATTATTTTAAGGAGGTCATTTAAAAAGTCTTCTAGAAGGGAGATGCTAAGTTTGGTGCTGGAGATTTTCTGTGTTTCAGGGACCTGGCATTCCAGAGATGAAATAATGATTGATTTTGCATGGATTTATCTAATATTAATTTTATTGATGCTTGAAGCGATTTAATAAACCACTGTGTTTCATAGTCTCAAGCTTTTTACAAATCTGATATTAAATCTTTTTTTTTTTTTCAGGTAGGAAATAGTGCTTGGTAGTGCTTGGTTCTGGACTTAACCCTCGGTGTCTCTTCTCCCCTGGAAGACATGAAGTCATCCACCGGAGAATGGGAGTTTGCACAGTTTCCATGTTGAGAAGCACAGCTAGCCATTGTGTGCACATGTGTGCTCTGAAGGTGGGTTTCTGGTGTGGGGCGAACATGTTCCTGACAACAATGACAGAGAAAATAAAAGTGATACAGTTTTTCCAGTTTATATAAGACTGTCCTCAACTTCCCAGTCTCTACAACCACAGAACAGGCTCACTTCTTGCTACAAAACAGCATTTTTCTTTACATGGATTGTACAAGGCAGGTTTTGCCTTTGATTTCTTGATATTATGTGTTTCTGGCTCATCCTCTGAGTGAGGAGAGGTAATTAAATTGAAAGGCCTTCTCCATTGGGCTGCACACTTTATATTGTAACAGAGAAATTCAACGCAGTATCAGTTCAGGAAAATCACACTAAAGGCTGGGGCTATCCATATGAGTTTTAAGATATATGTTTCAAAAGCCTGTGATTTGAGGACGGGATAGGGAGATAGCCCCTAGAAAAAAGCTTACCTTGAAACCACAAATACCCAAGTTTGCTCCTCAGAGCCCATATAATAAAAGCCAGGCTGTGCACTTACTATCCCCATTGCGAGGGAAGACAGGTGAATTTTTGAGGCCCATTGGCCAGCCAGCCTAACCCACTTGGAAAATGGGATTCTAGGCTAGGGAGGAGTGACCTTGTCCTAAAACCTAGGGGTGTGTGGTGCCCATGGAATGAGACTCACAGTAGTCCCCTGGTCTCCACCCAGATGTACACAAGTTGTTTCTTCCTCTTCTCTTTCATACTCACAGAGCCAGGAAGTGGGCAGTTAATTTTGTGATCAATGAAAACCAAAGGTATAAATTTCCCCCAATTTTTCTCTAAGAGGAAAAAAATAGGGGGGAAAAAACCCCACATAGGTTTTACATATGCCCACATAGCCATGATAATTCCTACATATGTTTTGTAAGGGTATTGCACATGAAATTATTCTATTTGCTCTGGACAAGAACCAGGTAAGTGTAAGGTGAGAGGCTCAGAGAGGCTGAGGAATTGGAGACTCGGCACCCGTTGTCGAGTAGGTGCTATGAGGACCCGCGTGCTGAGACTCTTGAGCCTTGCGCAGGGGTGGAGGGGAATTGCGTTGTGGTGGGGGGTGTTGGAATGTAGTCTCATATCTGGGACAAAGACTGACCTAGTTGTGAGGATAACTGTCTTAGTGACATTCACTTCACCAACTGTGTGTGTTAACTTAAGAAAACAACCCTGAGTATGAATCTATCACCTACACTTCACATTTACACGAAAAATAAAGCTGAAATAAGCTACCTTGTCCAACCAAGGTCACTCAGATAGCCCGTTCTAGAACCAGGAGTCACGGGTCGTACTCCAGTCTCACGGCCCCAAGGCAAGGCCCTCCATGCATTATAGTGTATTATATGTTAGGATAATAGTAGTATCAATTGAATTGATGAAAACAGTAGCAGTGGCAGCAGTGAAAATTTGCTGTTTCAGGTGCTTCATTCATTGTTGTGGAGGCCTGGGAAGCAAGCACTATTATTTATGGTTTTTAGAGGAGGAAGAGACTGAATCAGCATAGGGTAGTTAGTTGACTAGGGTATACCACTGGGAATGGCAGAGCCAGGATAGACACTTAAACAGCCCAGCTCCAGATCTGGGTCCTTTAGTACCATGCCAAATCCCTGCTTTGTCTAAGACCACTTTTTCTTTGCTTTTCTGCGAGACGTGCTAGACATGCTGTAGAGCTGGCTAGAATTGAATTCTCTAGTTGGGTAATTAGAGACTAACTGTGCTCAAAAGATTTTTTTTGAAGGCATATGCTGTTTAAGAAATACCAACTTTAAATTGAGGTTAAGTGTGAAGATTTTCCACATAATCGATAATTGTCTGAGTCTGTCAGCCATTTAAACAGAGGTTTGTGGTTCCTGAAATGTAAGACAGTCATGGCTACATTTTCTGAGGTAGATTTTTTTTTTTATCTTGGGCCAAGATTCTCAGTTCTGATTGCAGATTAACTTTTCTGCCTAGTGACAGCTTGTCTGGACTTGAGGGAAGATCCTGGCAGGCAGAGGAGAGAGAGCTTGCTTTGCTCACCTGGGGTGATTGTAGGCAATCTGCTTGAATTCATCATTCCAGTTGGGTCTCCCATAGAAGGTCTTCTGCTTTAGACCTGTAACCACATCCAGGCTTTCATCCCAGTGGAGGGCTATGTGAATAGCCTAAATTAAAAATTGTAGTATCAGACAACATTAAAGAACAACCATAAGAACCATCTATAAATAAAAGATAAACTTGTTATCATCATTTGTGTGTTTAAAATATTTTAAACCTGGCTGGAAATGTTTTATTAGCAGATGCCTTCAATGTTGAGCTTTAGGGCAAATATCGTGTTTCGTCTGTATTTGTATTTATTCTTGTTGGGACAAAATGCTTCCCTGTACATAGTAGATATGCAAAGACATAGGCTGGGAAGGATGGTTTTCTTTGAAAGCATGAGAGCAACACAGTAAATATGGTTAAGAGAAAACACTGAACAAGTTAGTTTTCTTTCTGCCAAACTTCTCAAAAATCAATCTCCCCTTGCTGTCCCCATTCATTTAATATTAAATCCAGGGGATTTGAGAAGGGCATTTGCAGACTAAGGTGCCATGAAATACCCAGGAGGAAGTTGGGTCTTACAATCAGATCTGCCTACTGAGTTGACATGGTTTGATAGACAGTAATTCCAGATACCAAAGCTTTTCAGAGGCTCAAGAGAATCTGTGTCTAACTTTCTCACATCCTCTCGTACACTTTAAATCATCTCGATGCTCTATAAAACCTACAACTACTAGAAAGAGAGTTGTCCTGTACTGTTTAATAATGTAAAGAATTAAGATGAGAGTGCGTTTTCAGCACAGATATATTTTTTTTCAAAAATTTCAGTCCTCAGTTGGTTGAATATACATATGTGGATCTCCAAGATATGGAGCGCCAACTGCATTATGTCAGAATTCAAGTGATGAAGGATACACTTGAAGGTGGTGATGTGATGCTGGGGACAGAGGACAGAAGGGGGCTTGGTTGGAGCTCTGCACGTAACCGGCTTCTCACGCGGTCTTTGTCTAATTAGAGGCCGGTAAATAAGAGCCTGGGCACAACAACCCTTATAACCGCGTACTCTAGTGCCACCATCGGCTCCAGCTGTTGTGAATTCCAGAGGCCACCTTGTTCTTTCTGCCTCAAGTATGAGTGTTCTGCCCTGTTCCTGAGAACCATCACCAGCTCTGGAACTCACATACCATTTTCCCTTTCACCTTCTAACTCCTGCTAGTTGTGACAGCTTGAATAACTGCCCTGCTTCCTTCTTTGAAAACAGCTTCCTTTTTTGAATGTGACTCTCCTGAATGGTTGGTTCCTCTCCTAATCTAAGAAAGCAGCCAGTGCTGAGGTTCATATTCAAGTCTTGGTGGCAGCTCTAACTGACCAGTGGACAAGGGCAGACTGGCTCTCAAAATGTCAGAAATGAACAGATAGTGCTGTTCAGCAAGTGTGGCCTTAGGTAACAGTATTCGTGTGGGAAAAAGAGTTTGGGAACATGACTCCATGTTCTGGATTGATGTGTCAGAGAGTGGAACCGCCAGGAGCAAAAGACTTGAAAGCCTGAACACACACAGCAGGATGCTTAAGGATCCATTTGTCAACAGCTCTGGGGCCATGGGGAAACAGTGAGGCTTGCCTAGACATAGGTCAGGTTAAGGAGGTCCTTAAAGTGCTCGTTCTGACATTCCAGTACTATCTCCTGGGGGAGGGAGGAGTCTGTCCCTACTTATGTCTGTGGAAACGCCCCAGTCTCTGGTGTTCAAACATTTGGAATTATATCTGCTCCATATTTCTCAGCCCACTGTTCAATTAATCTCAAACTCTTTTGAGTTGCCCTTCGGAATACCTCTCCATCTGTCCCTTCTGTTCTTGTCAATTTGCCACTTTGAGGTTGTTGGATTCCGTTTAAGAACTGGCTATTTCTAAAACAGCCTCTCCGTGTGTGAGTTAACTGACAGAATGCACTGATTATTTCTTTCCCTTAAATGTTGAGATTAATGATTTCCCACTTGAAATCTGGAAGTGTGAAGGATTTCTGACACTCCATGGGAAAACTTAGGAAGCTGTCAACTTTACTTTCATTTAGGGAAATAAGTATATTTGATATCTAGTCTTGAAAGAGGCAAGATAGGTTAGGGCAGAGTTGTGCTATCCCAAAAACCCACTTATGAGTTCCGTCTGGAGAATCTGAGTCTCATAAATCCCAAGGGACAGGGATGGGCTAAGTGGACATTGGGGACCAGTTAGCCTCAGGAGTGGAGGAGCAAGCAAGGGGCTTTGAAGCAAAAGACAAAATCCATGTCCTTCTGGGCTTCACCAAATGGATCACCAGTCAAAAATCCCACTTGGGTAAGGAAAATGTTTGTTTGGAAAAGGTAATTAATTCATTAAGCTCTATCAAGCTCAATTCCCAAGAAGTCTACAATTCAAATCATCCCAGAGGGTTAAGTATTTAAGGAGGACTGGAATTAGGACCATGAAAATTCTAACATTTCTTTAAATTTCTAGCAAACTCTAACTTATTTACAAAAGCACAGAGACAAGTTACAATGATGTTCAGAGAGAGAAAGCTAAAGAGAGAGAGAGAGAGAGAGAGAGCACATTCATACATAGAAACAATCACTTATAATCATTTATATTTGGTGAATGGTACGAAGCTCCTTGGCCTAAACATATTTTCCCTAGAAGTACATATCAGTGATACCACCTACATATCATCTGCAGAAGTGTGTTTGAAACATGGGTGTCACACCCTGGTGTAAGTGTAGTAGCTTTGTTGACTCCAGTGTTTGCGGGGACCCACTGGGTTCTCACGCCCTAGTCACCATTTCCGCACCGACTATGATCGTTTTTGTCAGTACTGAAACCCTACCCTCAGTGAGATGCATCATTTTTGTAGAACTCAGTCTTTACACTTCATTACTGCAATGACTTGCGGAACACGTACCCAAGCAGAAGGCTATCTCAGGTTCAGATGAGAAGAGGGCCCTTCTTTTCCCAGACCCCCTTTGGAGAAAGAGCTCTCTATGCAAATCATGCGCTCACAGTCATTTTCTGGCTCACATGCTTTTCACTGTGAAAGGCTGGAGAGAAACAACGGGGCATCCTTCCTGTTTCACTCTGAGCAGCACAGAATCAGAACCAATTAGGAATTCAGCAGATGATACAGCCAATTAGTGACAGTCGCTGATGCCACTCTTAAAATGACAAATTCAGACTGTAAGATTCCCAATATCTGGGTTGCCTTTTACATTACCCAACAGCTAGAGGTCTTTCTACTGTTCTGTCTTGACTATTATCTCCAGCCTGGCTCCATTCCCTTCCTCTTCCCCACCTAGGAACTTGACAATTCTCTGGTGCTGCCTGATAAGCCTGCTCCTTGTTATGGAGACGGGGTTTCTTTCTCCTTTTGGAAACGGGTTTCTTTTACAAACGGAGGTAGTAACCACGGCCTTGGGTTTTACTGATACCTGGTTTTCATCCCAGCCAGTGAGAAATATGTGGTAACTCAGCAAGTGAGCTTTCCCTTGCTCACCCATCCGCGTTTCCAGTGACAGTAACAGATCCGCAAACCACTCAAACGCCCCGGCGTCCCGGCAGATCCAGTAGAAGTACATCTGTCAGGGGAGAAGACAGGAGGACATCTCTGCTCCACTTTCCACAATGTGCTGATAATCACAGGCTACTTTATGTCCATTAAATTATTTGAGCCCAAATGGGCACTTCTGCTAAATCACACACTTTTCTCGACCAGTGAACAAACCATCACACTGTGATTTCGCTCAGGGGTGGGGAGGGGGATCCCATTGTGCTTGGCAAGACCCGGAGTGAATTCAAGGAGTCCGGGTTTCCGTGGGCTGTGCCAACCTCTTTGGATGAGGATCATCTTTCTACACTTCTGGCCGGGCTTCTTCTGAACAAGATTAATAATCATAACTCACTGTGCCTTTCATTGCTCCCCAAAGGGGAGAAGCCGCCAAGCCAGCCTCCTTCCTCTTTACTTATGATCTAAGCTTGAGATTTCAACTCTCTTCTCCAGAGACCCCCCCCCCCCCCCCGCAAAGACTCGGGCACTAACCCACTTCACCAGCCATTACCTCTAGAGAATGGAGATTATGGTAATTACAGAATGATGTCTCAGAAGACAGAAATTTCTTCTCAGTGGGACACACTGGTGTCCTTGAAAGCTGGTGGATGGAGGCTGTGCCTGTGTGTCAACTGAAGTGGTAAATTTTGCAGTGAGATGGTTTCTGCGAAGGGGTGTTGTTTTTGTTTTTATTTATTTATTTAAAAAATACTCTCTCTGTGTTAAGCAATTGGCAGGTGACAAGAAAGAGTTTGAGTTTGCTGGAAGGCTTAGCTTTGTGCTTTGAGTTTCGGACAATTGTACCTAGCTTGAAGAGACCACAGGAGACAGACCTGTTAATTCTATGGATTTTACCCCTCACATTTCTACTCTTGAACAGTGTCTGTGGGCTTGGTGTCTGCTCCAGCTGCTGTTTGGGTGTTAGCACCTGAAACATGCCCTCCAGTGCCAGTGTTTGCCTCTCTCTCTCTCTTTCTCTCTCTCTCTTGGTCAAGCAGTTCAAAAGCTCACCATCATACAATCAGATTTATAAATGAGATTTAATTAGTATCACAAGGAAAAGAAAAATACAGAATGTATTTCAAGGCTGAATATCTTGTTTATACAGGAATCTGGAATGTTAGCAGTTAGGAAGAACAGCAGGGGAGAATCCATGACCTCCTCAGAATCAGAGGTTGCATATTTGCTGGACAGCTCCTTCTCAGATGAAAACTCAAAATATTAATCCAAGGAGAGATCCCTTAAACCAGCGGTTCTCAGCCTTTGGGTCTCAATCCCTTTTTTGGTAGGTTGAATATCAGATATTTTGTATATCAGATATTTGCATTATGATTCATAATAGTAACAAAATTACAGCTATAAAATAGTAACAAAATAATATTATGGTTGGGAGTCACCACAACATGAGGAACTGTATTAAAGGGTCACAGCATTAGGAAGGCTGAGAAGATCCACTGCCTTAGACAGTAAGTACAATTACCATCCCTAGATGACTGTTCCTGCCTGCCTTCCTGTCTGTCATCCCTCCTTGGAGTGTGCAGTCTATAGTCCATCCTGGTAGCTTCAAAGCAAAACAGGGCCTAGAACTTCTTCTGTTGAATATCTCAAGAGTCCTCATGAACAGAAGGTAGTGCATATCTTTGCTCACTGGCTCACAGATGTTTACACAATGCTTACTATGGGTAGAGACCAGATAGACAGATAGTCATATATAAATGTAGTACATTTATACAATGGAGTTATTGCTCAGATATTATTAAAAAATGATGTCATGAAATTTGTAGGCAAATGGATGGAACTAGAAAATATCATCCTGAGTGAGGTATCTCAAACCCAGAAAGGAAAATATGGCAGGTATTTGCTTATATGTTCTTATTAGTTGTCTAGTCCATTATAACCAAGTTATAATCCATAAACCTAAAGAAGCTGGGCACAGAATAAGAGACTAGAGGGTTAAAAAAAGGTCTTGTTAAGAAAAGGAGATAGAGTAGATAATTATGGATGGATAGGTGGGCTGGAAAGGGAGGATCATGAGAGGAAGGAGATGGAGAGGAGATTGAGGGAGGGAATAGAGGGAGACAGCTAAAATTAAGGGCCATTTGAAGAGCAGTATACAAATATAATACAATATAAACTTTCTAAAATATGTACATACATGAAGGTGATCTTAATGAAATCACCCAAATTTTAGGGGAGATAAAAGTCCCAATTGGCTATCTCTTGTCACCAAATGAAGCTTCCAGTACCAGTACTGGGTGAAATGGAATTGAATTCTTGGCTAAAGGGGTCTCTGGGGACTCTCCAAACAATCCAGGTTGTTGCCAAAACAATAAGTTTCTCTCCATAATCTGACAGCAAGGCCCTATTGCTGAAAGCCACACCTACATAACTCATTTAACATGGAAAAGTCAAGCTAGTGTCTACACAGAGTCTTCACCCTGACGTTTCAGCATCTTTGATACAGGAAGGTACTTTACATAATGCCAAAAGAGAAATATAAACAACCAAACCAGCCACAAACTCTATGATTTACAATGGTGTCCTGCCTGCAAGATATGCTAGGGCAATGGTGGCACAAAGCTTGTGATGGTAACCAGCCAATAACTGATGTGACTTTAAGACCATGCCACAAGATGGGACCCATACCTAACACGGCTTGGGCGACCAGGAACCAGGGGCTAGATAGTTCAGGGACCAAGTATTATTGGTCTTAAAACAAAAACAAAAACAAAAATAGAAAAACATGGTGATAAAGTGACTCCTAGTGACATTCTGGTATGCTCATGGATCAGTACCTTGCTCAACCATCATCAGGGAAGCTTGTGAGAACAAGTACAAAATTCCACAGAGCACCCCCCAGAGAGACAGAGACAGAGAGAGACACAGAGACAGAGATAAAGACAGAGATACCTTGGAACATTCAGCCCTAATTGGATGTCTTCATCAAATCCCTCCCATCAGAGCTCAGGGAACTCTACAGAAGAGGGGAGGCAGAAAGAGTGTAAGAGCTAGAGGGGACGGAGGACACGGTAAGGCAAGACCCTCTCACAGAGTCTAAAGCAGCATGCACAGAGCCTGCACTGGTCTGTCCCAGGTCTCCTGCGCATATACTATGGCTTCCAGTTTAGTAATTTTTATGGGACTTCTGAGTGTACTTGTGAGTGGGTCTCTCATTCTTGTGCCTTCTCTTAGGCTCATTTCCTTACATTGGTTTGTCTTGGTCAACTTTGATGCTATAGTTTTTGATTTATCTAATTACATATTTTAAAAATTCAGTTACCTTTATTTAAACATTTAAACTCATACTTAGTTTAAACATTTTTAAAATGTGGAGATATTTAATTTGTAACAACAATGGTCATTTATTTATATATTTAGTCAGTTTATAGCCTGATCCTAGCCCCCTCCCAGGGTCACCCTCCTCTATTCCCCACTCTCCTTCTCAGAGAAGGGGAGGTCCTCAAGGGGTAGCAACCCACCCTGGCACCTAAAGTTGCAGCAGGACTAAACACTCTCACTGGGACCAGACATGGCAGCACAGCTAAGGGAAAGGGATCCCAAGACAGGCAACAGAGTCAGAGACATCTCACACTCCTAGTGTTTGGGGACCCACATGCTGACCACGTTGCACATCTGCTGCATGTGTGGAGGGGGTTAGGTCCAGCCCATGCAAGCTCTTGGTTGGTGGTTCAGTCTCTCTGGGCCCCCATGGGCCCAGGTTAGTTTGCTCTGTAGGTCTTCTTGTGGTGTCCTTGATCCCTCTAGCTCTCTCAATTCTTCCTCCCACTCTTCCACAAAACTCCTGAGCTTACTCTACCATTTTGCTGTGGGTCTCTGCATCTGTTTCCATAGTTGCTGGATAAAGCCTTTCAGACTGCGGTTATGCTAGGCTCCGGTCTGCAAGCATAGCAAAGGATCATTAATAGTGTCAGGGTTTGGCTCTCTCCCTTGGGGTGGGTCTCAGGCTTGGTCAGCCATTGGTTGGCCATTCCCTCAATCTCTGCTCCACCATTATCTGTTACATACCTTGTAAGCAGGACAATTTTTGGATCGAAGGCTTTATGGTTGGGTTGGTGTCCCCTTCCTTCCATTGGAAGTTCCACCTGGCCACAGGACGTGGCAACTTTAGACTCTGTATCTTAATATATTCTATTATTATCTCTTAGAAGCTTGCTCTTTTCTAATGAGAGACAGAAAAGGGATAGATCTAGATGGGATTAGAAGTAGGGAGGAACTGGGAGGAGTAGAGGGAGAGGAAACCACGGTCAGGATATATTATGTGAGAAAAGAATCTGTTTCCAATAAAAGCAAAAAAAAAAAAAAATAGAGGAAAGAAAAATAAATCAGATCAAAGCAAACCCCTGCAATATAAATCCAAGGTCTGCAGCTCTATGTCCAAAATCTAGGACTCACTCCTGATCTTACACGTTCTAGATGACTTGGTCCACTGCCATCTCTCCACTTCTCCATCCTCAGGACACAGGGCTCAGGCTCAGGTTCAGGCTCTCCTCCATAGCTGCCATGTCTCAGAGTCATAGCATCTCCAGTGTCCTGGGGTTTCCACTCCACTGCAATGGAGGCTGTACCTTCACTCCTGACCACTCTTCAGGGACTCTGACCCTGGCACACAGTGCAGGCTTTGGCCACTTTTAGCGGCTTCTCAATCTCACATCTCTTATGCCGCCAAAGTCACTAGCTTGAGCTGTAGCTGTGGACCACAGCTTCCGTGGGCTGACCCTGAGGAAAAAGCTTCCCAGAAGATTTCATCACAATGACACTGATCTCTCATGAATCGTAGCTGATTCTTTAGCCCCAGATGACCAGCATCCACACTGTCCAGTGAAGTGTGGAAGGTTTCACCTCCGCGGAATCACACCTTTCTGACAACCGCAGCTGTTTCTTCAGTGCCAGCATGACCAGAAATCACAATTCTTAGTCAAAATGTATCACCAAATGGCCCACAGTCTAGTTATTAATTATATTTTTGCTATCTTCTGAAACCTCACAAGCAATGCCTCCACAATCCACATT